TCAGCCTGTCATCTTTAGCTCTGTGTGCCTCCAGTCCTCATTTCCAGCCCTCCACAGGGGAAGGGGGAGCTGAGTGGACTCAGCACACAGCACAGTGGAGTATTTCAGTGGGAATACCATTCCTAAATCCTGACAGCATTGCAGAGCAGAGATGCCCAAAGCTCCAATCCCTCTACATCTCTCTGCATGGCCTCATCCCTCAAGAGTGAACAGCACCTCCCCATTCGGTATCATCAGCAAACTTGCAAATGGTGCATCTGGCTCCTGCATCCACACCTTGATAAATATATTGAGCAGATGTGGCCTAGAACTGAGCTCTGAGGGTGACCACTGGTCACGCATCMCCAGCCACAAGCCGGCCCTTTGGCCACAACCCYTTGAGCYCTRCCCTTCAGCCAGTTCGAGGGTGAGCAGTTCAGGCTGCTGCCCATTCTCACTAGAGCATGTACACAGGATGCATCATCAGAGGTGGAGAATGTAACATTAGAGACAGGCAAGGCAGGAATATGAATTAAAAAGACAGGGAAAGGTTGGCTAGAAGACATGACCAGGAAGACAAGATGAGGTGCACCAGCTCTTGAGTGGGACAGAAACACCAGTGRGGGTTGGATTAATTTAAGGCAAGGGGAAAGGAGAAGCAGTGGTATGGTGCTGCTTAGGAAACATTACAGGGAAGTGGCCACCCCTGCCAGGCAGAAGRCCCTGACAAACCCTGGCTRTGCCCAACAGTGAAACCTCCAAAGYTCTGAGGCCGCACAGCACATGGGACATCTGCCCCAAAAACCCTTTAGAGCTGAATCCCTGCTCAGCTCACAAGTGGGAGCCTGCACATACTGCCCACCAAAATAGTGCAGGGCTGCAGGGCCTTGGCACACCAACTGCATGACATAACTCCAGGAWCAGTGTYCTACACCGAGGRAAAGCGCCTGTTCCTRGAAACTGATTCTTTYCTTTACACATCTAAGCCAGTTGCTYCAAGGCAGAAAAWTCCATGCACCSAGMACAAGATCCCCTAGTAGGAGTGAATTAGGGTAAGATGGACACAGGACAAACAATGACATCTCAGAACTGTTTTTGCAACAGTTCAAACATTTGGCATACACAGGACACGCCACACTTGCCTGCACTGGCACAGTCACTCACTGCAGCAAGGAAGCAGCGAGACCCAGGAGCGAAAGATGGGCAGTGAGGAGTGTGTGGTGTGAGGAGGGAGTGCAGCATGTGAGCAGAGCCATGGGGGAATCCCAGCAGGAACACAAGAGCTGATAAAACTCCAGCACTATCACCAGTGACACCCCAGAACAAAAAGGCACAGCATCACTGACATTTTCATGCAGACCTGTCACAATGTGACTGAACAATCAGGCTTTCTATGTAGGCTGCTAGCTGGATGCATTTTCCAAGAGCAGCAAGAGACTAGGAAAATAAATTTCTACTGAAAACTTGAGGCCCCTTTCCAAGACAGCCTCACAATACTGGCCTCAAACCATTTAACAACTGCTGTGGAAGACAATACTCTTTTGCCTTGAAAGGGAAAAGTTAACTTTGATGGAAAAAGGATAAAACTCCAAATTAGGTCAGATTTACAAGAGTTCAAACTGCTGTTACAACATTTTCTTCAAGGCAGCTTGTGTGTTCCCAGGTCGTGCCTGTGTTACCTGATATCCTGTATTACCCAAGTGCATGTTTGCTTTTCATTATAGTTGTAACTMCRTATTGGTACTGGCACMCAAGTTAATCTTAACAGCAGTTTTYTATCAGCTGYATAAATACTCTAGAAAAAAGTAAATCAAGTGTGAAAGAAAGCAAAAGTATTGTAGTCCCTAGAAGATCAACTTGAATTCCACTTTGAACACAAATAGTTTTAATAGCCCCACATTTACTCAATCAGCAATACAATAATTACCAAACAGAAAGCAAAGAGAAATTTCACTTTAAATCTGTTTTTATTGTGATAACATTGTTCCAAACACCGATAAACATTGCACTGAAGTGTGGGTTGCTGTACCCAAGASAGTCCAGTCTTAACAAAAACCACTGTATTGGTATGATCACAGATTTGACATTTTAAACACACTACCTTATTAGTGATTGGGTTGCTTAACAATCAAGTATTCCACATCTTCAAGATAAAAATGAAGCAAATGGCTGAAGAGAGTTTTCCCACCCTCAAAATAAACCAACATTTTAACTTTCATCTGGAAGTAATTAACACTGTAAAAAAAGTCCCAAACAATTCCATTCTATTTAGCAAATTTTAACTCTGGAAAYGAAAACTTCTTCAGGCAGAAGTGACACTTTAAAGGCATCTCAAATTCATTATCTATCTGTTGATGCTTCATTAGGAATTTGCATTACAGTCATTTAAACAACTCATTCATATGACAGCATTTTCTAGAAGACTTGSATGAAATATTAACATGAAATCTCATCTCTTTTGTGTTCACCACAAACGGATTCAGAGTTTGCTTCAGAAATTTCATAACTTCAGGAGTTGACCCAAGTGTTAAAACTTTTCCAGTTGAAAAGAAAAAAAAGGGTTTTGGAAGGCGTATACTGATGACAGAAAGCTAAGGAGACATGAGCCAAGATTGCACATGCAGTTGTATACTGTTGGAAATGAGAGCCCAATCTTTTGAAGTACAAACATGCTCAGTACAGTAAAAAAAAAAAAATTTAAATCCGGGAATGCCTACCCTTTAAATTGCTGATCTCTAAATCATTATAGAAATGGGTAATGTCCAAGTCACTAACAAGTTTTGAATTGCAATGTTCCTTCTTTACTCCCAGGAATGTGTCATTGACTCAGCCTTTGAGGGGTTCCAATGCTAAGAGTATCTGCATCTTCAACAACACAGTCTCAACAGGGGTGTGTGTGTGCCCACAGCCAGGCACACTTAGAAGTTCCTCTTTCACAGAAAGAATGATGTAGCTTGCGCGAATTTTACACCAGCATCGCACAACTTGTCCTCAAACATTAGTTTCAGGCCACTTCTCTCCACTARGGTAACAAAGGACAGGCTAATGCATAATTCTTATTGACCCCACTCCACGTTAATATTGCAGCACAAGCCTACAGTTCAATAGCAAAGAGATGTCTGCTCTAGAGTCAGWAAAGTGCCCAGCAGCCCCAAGGACATAGGTACGCAATGGCAGGCCCCATATTCCATCCCTAAACAGGGTTAACAAACTATCTGAAAAGCTTCAAATAATAMAAGCCAGGTTTAGAAAAACCAAACCCTCTGCCCTACTCATATCAGAAAGACTCAACATTTACATTTTATCAAAAAACAAATATCAAACTGTAGCTGTTACAGAGAAAAAAAGATCAAATTTTTTGATTAAGCAACCTTTTGGACACTCCTACAATGCAAAATGACATGTTAGCAGAATGAGGAGTTCTCTACACTCACACAACCCCCATATTCATACCAGCTATAAGTACATGTATTTGGAGATACACCTGATACTATTTTTCCAAGCTTCTCATTAACTCAAGTCCCCACCTTGAAATCCAGAGCTTATCTTTRCGACAGTCTGAAAAGATGAAGGGAGTTGAAGAAAAAGAAAAAAAAAAAAAACCAAGTGAAAAAAAAGTATTGACCAAAAAGATATAGGCAAACCTTGGTAACAATCTGTCCCATTTGGGAACTCATCATAGTTTCATGAAGTACTTTTATTTTTAGAAAAGCTGTGTAATACCAGGGTTACCAAAAGTAAAGGTAATTTTGACATCCACAAAAGGACTGTTTTAGGAAAGGCTGCTTCACTCCCTTTATGCAAAATAGAATCTTTAGATAGAATATTTAATTTTGTAATTAAAATACTTTATTATGTTGGATTCTTATTTATTCATTTTAAAGTATTTAAGTGACTGAAAAGCTCAAATCACATTGATATTCAAAGCACTTGGTGATCATGAAAATTTTACTAGTTTCTAACGAAATCTATGGAATAAAAGGTAAGAAAAGGGGAAAAAATATATGGAATGATGTTTGCAAACTTTTGACATAAAAAAAAAGAAAAAAGCAGTAAAATATCCATTGAATTGGATCCTGTGAAATCCACTTAAACACTGAGTAGATTGGTGACCAAGAGCCATAGAAAGTATTGTTCTTACAGTACAAAAACAAGGATGCTGTTTAATTCACTGACATGCATGACACACCATGACAGGTGAAGTATCTTTTTTTTATCCCACTGTCCTTCTGCTCTGAAAGAGATTCCAGGTTGATTTTGTTTGCCTCCACTCTTTATCCAGTGTTTTATAAATATGGGAATTCACCAGAATTTGTCATTTCATTTATGCAGTGATTTAAAAATGCTCCCCCCTCCACAAAGTTCACCAACTGTCCAGAGTTAGCCTGAAAATGAAGAAAAAAGTGCTCCTGGAGGGGCATAAAATCCTCTAAATGTACTCTTGTGCAGGTAGTAAAACCGAGTGAGCTCCTTTCCTGCATGCAGCCCAGGTGAGCTGAAGCAGAAGGGCTGAGAGGAGCAGCCCTGTCCAGGACTGCAGCAGGCTGCCATACAAATGCCTTCCAGACAGCACTCACCCTCCCCTGCTCCCACTGGCAACAGCATACAGGGAAGAACTTGCCCCAGAGTCTGTGGAAATTCTGGWTGTTGCCCCTGGAAGGATCTTTAATGCATGGCCCCAGGAACTTGCTTAAGGAGTGAGTGACAGGAAAGACTGCACCCAGAAAGCCCAGGACTGGTGCTTAAATGATGTTTCAATGACTGTCGTCCTTAAATCCTCTGGGCTGGTGGAATGATACATTCTCACCACAGCTTTGTCCAAAAGAAGTTAAATGCACTGATTTAACTGAAAAAGCAGCCACCCTTTGCCTTCAAGTACTTTCTTTTGGAGAAAGAACAATTAGCTGCTTTTGTAGCAGATAAACACCAGAATTGGAATGTAATTTGTTCACAGGCTCTGACTGGAACCTGAGGAATGACCAGCATGATGTTTGTGAATAACCCAAAACTCTTAAAAAAAATAGGAAAAAGAAAAAGGTTTTATTCTGCTCTGCAGCATTTAACCATTCTCACAGCTGGAATCTCATTACTGAGTTGCATTTTCTTCCAGCTACTGAAAACCTGCAATACAGAACTGTGGAAAGACCTGCAGTAGACAATTAAAAAATTAAATACATAATTTTTTCTTAGTATTACAATTCCCTGAATATAATCTGTACATACATTTTACTGGCCTATACAACATACACACACATACACATTATCTCTGTGCTGAAAAAGGAAATAAAAATGCCAGTTCCAACTTTTACAGAAATGTTCCAAGATTTTTCTTGATGGAAATTTAACATGACACAGCACAGCCTGAAAACAACAAAAGCCATACCAATGTCTGAAGACAACTTTCATTTTAACAAGCTCATGTAATAGTTTAAACATTGTAAAAAAAAAGTAATAAGCAGAGTTAGTTTGAGCGTGATTTGTACAAGCCCAGTCTTGTACATGTAACAAAAGGCATATTTACATTTAAAGAGGAATTTTAATGTCTTCAGAATCTGTCAGGCTCATAAGGTCTATACATTTTCTGTATTCTAGCTGAGAAAGAGCACAGTGGTCTTAGGCTCTGGCTCCTTTCAAAAATGGCCTAATTGCCCATTTGCACATTAAACCATGTTTTTCATTAATAGGTCTAACATTCTATTTGGCAGTTTCCATACACTTTTTGGCTTCATTTTAGAAAATATACTTAAGACAGCTTTAAAACAAAATAATCTGTGTTTACAATAAGGTCTGTATTGATGAAAATGCAAAGTCATATTTTACCTCAGCATTTCACTGCCCTGAAGCACTTGGGTACCATGACCAATGACAGGCCTATCTCAAGTGCTTTAGAACAGGCATATAATAACAAGTAAGAAACAAACAAAAAAATCCACCACCCCCAAAAAATAGACAGTAGCTTTGCATTTTCTTTGTTTCAAACCAATAAAATTAAAGTAATTTCTTTAGTAAGACTTACGGTACCAATATAGTAATTAGCATCTTCATTGAGAAAGTTCTTCACATTTAAACTGAAGTTGAGTCGCTGAATATGMAATTCCATCTTCTCCACAGTGAGAAGCACTTTTCAGGCCAGGTCATCCATGTTAAGGTCAGGAAGAGGCTCTCTCCAGTAGCAAAAAGAGCTGAATTCTGGGCACGGAAATGCAGAACTCTGTTCTTTATTAATCAATGGGAACACATACTCCACAAGCTCACTTAGTCTGTAATACCTGCATTAAAGAAGAAGAAAGACTATTATTTAACAGTCTAGTTACTGTTCAGCTGCAGCCAAAAAGAAGCTTTAGAAGTCTAGACCAGAAAGTTACAGTCAAATAAGGCCCCWCTATCACAGAAGCAATTTTCAATTTTATTTTGCCAGTTTTAATTTTGGTAAGTTTCAGTCAAGTATCAAAAGCTGAAAAATAAGGTTCTGCACATGTCATGTCACAGGAGATCACAGTTATAAATGCAATAATTTTGTAATCTCATTCCTAAAAACTTTCTTTAGCTGAAAAAACAAAAATGGTCTTACGAAGATTTGTTTCCCTTRGTCTGTTCTTGGATCAGTTCCCCCTTTGGATTCACAGTAAATATTCTGCAGTTTGGAACTCCCACTTGCATGTAGGCATATACATCCTGCAAAAAAGCACCAACACAAATACATGCTTCAACACTTCCTTACTGAATGTGATTTAACAAGCAATTTATTGAAGAAATGAGAAAAGCTGATCCAAAAAGGTTACAGTAAAGCTGCCCCCTAAAACAGAAGTCCCCAAACAACAGGAAAAAAATAAAACACCCCCAAAATATAYACACAAAATAATAAAATGATCCCCCTGCCCCAAACACTTAATTCCTGTTCCCAAGCCTAAAACCACAAACATGCACAAATTCTGTACCACMCAACATCACTTCTTGTGACAATATTCTTAAAATACCCCTCCTCTCTCTCTCACTCAATTACAGAAGCATTGAGCTGCAGAGAAAATAGAAGAGCCGCACGATAGGAAAAGGATTCAAGACTGCAAAGCACTAAAATAATGCCCTTAGGTCATAAAGCAGTCAAAACTGTTTAAAAATAATTTGGCAAGGTGGCACATATTTAATARAACTCTGAGAACACTACGGCATCTTTAACCTTTCTCATATAAGCAGCTGTAGCAACTTTCATTTAAGGTATCTGCATGTGGCTTTTCCTGACCAAATCCATAAAAGCAGMAGTGTCCCATTTTCATCAACACAARAAGAAAAGCCTGTTTGTTTTGCTTCTCAAGTACATGCATTTTAACCCTTCAGTTAGAAAGGGGCACTTACATTGGGCCTGTTTCCAAAAGCAGCATAGAAAGGCTGTTTACTGGGAGCAAACAAATTCTTGATATCATTCAAACATTCGATTTTGAACTTTTCAGGCTTCTTTTCTATTACTTCCCTAAAAAAAAAAAAATCAACAGTTAAATTCTAAATCATGACTTGATAGAAGGCATCCCCCATTTATCTGATATTATATTCTCATTACTTTCTGTTGCTATAAATGGTAGTGATATAGACAGTGGTAAGTAGCTCTCCAAGAACAATACGAGAAACAATTAAATATTCCCTCTTTTCCAACACCCACAGTAAAAAAGCAGGTGAATACTGTGCAYAGGCCAAGCATAAATGGGATTAAATTCCTAGTTTTGAATGCAGTTTGTGAACTGCATTTTTGTAGCTGACTATCTGAATCAGAAGATCTAATCAAGTACACATAAGCTTGTTACAACTCCTGCAAAACAAAAGTGTGTACCATCACCATAATGAAAACTGCAGTCATTACTATCCATGACAAAATAATAATCAAATAAATAAAAARATCTAACAAACTCTAAACAAAACCCCCTCCAGAAACAACCAACCTACCAACCCCAAACACTTTTCCATTATGAGCTCCTCTCATCAAGAACATGTCCAAAAGGTAACTGAGTTGAATCATACTTAAACTCCATGCAATTTTTAAGTAGTYGTATATGGAGCACTCCCAACACTACAAGATTATTTCCCATTACAGTCTATACTCTCCAGCTTCTTTTTCTTTTCTCTCTTCCTTGTCTAGTAGCACTGCACTGCAAACCCTGCAGGTATACTTTGAAAGAGGAAAATGTACTGATACAAACAAAACCTAATAGTCATCTAGTCACAGACTAGCTGAATAAAGAGAAGGGAAAATGAGCTCCTCTAAGACTGATATGTAGTGTTTTGTAGCCACTTCTAACATGCCCAGAGGAACAGAAGTATACAAGTGAAATTCAGAGAAACAGAGCTTTTAAATGATTGCTAGAGGGACATCAAGCCTCAGCAGCAAATCTAGTCCAGAGTGGAATATCTGGTTACAGCTGTAATGCCAAGTATTTTTAATCTGCTTCTTTCTCTGAAATGGGGAGGGAACTGATRTAAGAAATCCCACATGCTTACCTATGAAAGGCAGAAAACAAACTGCTGGGGGACAACATGAGAGGACCCCTGGGTAAAATCGTTCCTTTGTCATTCACCCAGTGCAGGTACCCTCTGGTGATATCTGCCATCCCAATGGCACGGGCRGAACAGTACAGGAACTTGTAGCCGTTTCTAGAAAAAAATTACCAGCTTAGTTCATATTCCTGCTGAAGTTTCTTTGCAAAGATAAGGACATGACTACAGCAATGTCCAGAGGCACCAGTTCAGATACTGAATTGTTGCAGAGCTCTGGACACACACAAGGAAAAGATTTTTCTATTGTTAAAAGAATYTGCTAGGCATGTAGTAGTTTAAATACATGACTCAGTCAAAACTGAGAAACAGGAAGAGCAAACAGAATAGCGATGGTAATACCCAGATGACACAATTAGATAGACTAGACTGTGTTTAAACAAGTGCCACATTGGTTTTATTCAGCTTCTTTCAGCCCAGCTGTAAGATGACAGCAATTAKTTAAATTATCTGCATCACAAAATAATGGGTGCCAGATCTCCTGTCTTTTTCAGGTTGTTGGCAGAATTTGCAGTGCAGAGTGAAAGACAGATAACAAGCATTCATTAAGCCCCTAAATTCTTCCTGCAGACTTTGTATGTTCATCTGTTACACAGATTTGTATACAGTTACTGCATACACAAAAGGCTTGAGTGTTTATGTGCATTTTCAAAGACTTGATTCAATTTGGCAAATAATTCCAAAACTGCTCTTCTATTATGCACTGAATAAACAAAAAAACCCACCCCGAGCCACCCAAACAAAACCAAACAAAACAAAAACATTCATGTTATCTCCCATGAATTACAAGGGGCCACACGAAGGCCAACAATATATTCTAATTTTTTTTAATGAAAAGGAAGACTATTAAAAAACAAAGATAAACRTTGATTATTTTAAGTAAAGGCTGAGGTTTCTAACAGTTGACCATTCCCTGATTGTCCTCAGTAAGCAAGTATTATTTCTGGCATCATTATGATTTTAAAAAAGGTTTGCTAGACCAAGGACCGAATTGGAAAGGTGAGGAAGTATGTAGATTTATTGTGCCTCTAATTACTGGACATAAATATTATAGGGCTATGCATCTCTTAGATGAMCAGTACATTTGTAAGGGTGTAGTTTATAACACTTTTGAGCAAAGCAYACACCTCACAGTAGCTGCAAGGGGGTAGGTCTATGGACTGCCTCTGCAGGTCATTGCAGATCACAAGGTACACAATAACAAGCAATAAACAAACACAAAAATCCCATTCATTTGACTAACCCACAGAGGGGAAGGGGAAATTGCCAATTGGCTGAATTACTTTTCYACTGTTCTACTGAACTACATTTGGCTCATGTCAGAAATGCAACAAAGKGACAGAAAACTTGACCCTGGACACAACCTACCCTTTGTGCCAGTAGCAAGCTGCTCCAGAACATAAAATCTAACCTATGGAGCATTCACGTGGCTTTGGGAGCAAACCCAGCAAACCAGAAAACACTCATGCAAGGAAGGACACTATTCAGTTTAAAACTTATGCCTTATGTTTCTGAAAGGCTTTGTGACCAATCTGAGCTAGTAGAAAACAGACATGCACATTTGAGAAATTATTTCTATTATGGTTCTCTTTTGTATTCATGAAAAAATGACACAGAGTTTTTCAAAGCTAAAATGCAGAACAAAATGTCTAAGAAGGCAACTAGTAAAAGTGTTGGCTTGCATTCCTGTAAGAGTATACCTCTGTGGAAAGAACTTAGTTTCATTTGTGTATGACAGAAGTAGCTCACTTCCCAGCATTTCCAATACATTTTAATAAACTGCATAATTTTTTACAACTATCCAATTACCTGTACCTTAATTCCCACATTCCAGAAAATCCTAACTGTTTCAYAGATTGCATACTCACTCGTTTATGGAATGGTAGAGTTTTGCAATGCCCTGATGAGTCCAGTCCTTGCCAAACTGAGGGAGGATATGTCCCAAAGCATCAGACCTAAAAGGAGAATCAAAGGTACCTTACACTTGGTATATGAGTTTTGTTAAAGACAACCACTAATGAACACATAGTCTATAAAAAGTATTCATAGAAATATTTGTGTAGAAGGTCCTAAGTATTTAAAAAGAGAATTAGTAACTACTACAGACAAGRCAATTAGCAGGGTGATACAACAGAAGTCCATTTGCAAGTTATGGCTGCTAAAACTGAAGAAGTCTAAAAGAGGGAACAGTCACATGGTAAATGTTATCATTTTYGCATTATTCTTTAAAAAAATTAATAAAGAATTTTCTAGTTTGCTTTAAAGGTGAGTACAAATTGAAATCAAACCAAGAAGTTTCTTTCAATTGTTAATGAACACCCCTTAATAATGGTCTTAAATAAAGTTTCTTTACCTTGTTTTGAAAAGCAGGATAGGATCAATAAAGCAAGATAAAAAAATCCAATAAAAGAAAAATTGTCCCCTAAGATACTTACTTGGTTATTGTTCCATCAATGTCTGATATAATGATTTTATCATTCCAGTTCCAGAGGTATATTGTTCCTGCACAACGGCAAGTCCCTTGATACTGGGTTGTAATACTAAATACAACATCATTAGGGCCATCTCTAAGCTTCAACTTTGCCTAGAAAAAACAGACAAAGAGAATAGGAGGATAAATAAAAATAATTGAAAATGTAAGTTGCCCTCCCACTAATATTTTTATTTTATGATTTTAGAATCCTAAATGAGCTGCACAAAATGGCTCATAACTATTCCTTGTCTATTTTGATTAACTCTTCAAAAAGTGAACCATGGCAGCACAGTTTTGCTGGTAAATTCTGTTGCAGTCCAGGTACGTGTGGATGTCCATAGTTCTTGCATCTGCCTAGAGCAGCAGATATTTCACTCTCTGCCACTTTAATTCTTACTATTACAGTACAATTGCAGCACTATCAAATTGAACTCTCAGTTTGCCATAGTATACAAGAGCATTTTTTACTTAATTGATGCTTCCCTCAAAATTCTTCCCTGATGAAAATATACATTTAGACAGTAGCAGAACCAACTTATAAGTTAGACCACAGTGAACAGATTGCACACCAATTTGAATGTATGGTATTATGCAGTTGTGCAGATCCCAGGATGCAAACAATGTCACTTTTTTTGGCAACATCTTAATATAGAAGTTTGACTATAGAACTTTGGATTAAAAAACAGTATTTTCTTACAAATGGGTTCTTAAAAAAACACAACAGAAAAAAACCCCAAAAATACCCTGCAGCAGCCTACCATTTCATATAAATACACTTTAAACTTCTTTTTAAAGATTTTTTTTCAAGTATTATGAAGCATCCTATGTACCAGACAGTCACTTACTATTTGGTCCGAAGACAACCTAAGTGACTTCTTGTAAGATGGAACATTCCCATGGGGTGGATGCTCTGCTGGGGCAGAATCCATTTTCAGGGATTCCTTCAGCTCCTGGGATGCTTCATCACTAGAAGAATCATCCTCTGGAGGCCTAACATGACATCAACAGAATAAATGTAAGCTACATAAAATCCCTCTTTAACACAGTAAGCTTCTTATGCCAGAATAATTTCTGCTTATGTTGGAAGATTTGCTACTATCTGATAGCACAGACTAAGGAAGTCCACGGTCTAGTGACTGCCCAGATAAAGCCAGTACATGCCAGTAAGCAAGCAAGACTTGTAGTGCCAGTACTGGAGGAGCTCTAAATATGACTATTCCCAGCTGGCTCCACACACAATGGTTTAGTAAAGACACAGTGTCAAGTGGTCACTAATATTGTGTTGATGAATTAGGTAAACTGCASATGAAAAGGGACACTGAATGGGTAACAGCTTTGTTTTCTAAAAAAGCTGCCTCAGTTACTATGTCATTTAAACTGTGAGTGATGAGTTAGTGGAGTAGCTCACCTTTTAAGGTTATTCACAGTATTTTCCTGCTCATTAGAGATTTCAAGATTAAAAGCAGCATTTCATTTCTCTGAAGTATTAAATCACAATATATTTTGTTCTTTAAGACACCAACACTTACAAGTATCTTTGCAAAATCATGGGAGAATATAAACAGGCATAATAAATACCCTAGAATAGCAGAGTTTTGTGCTAAGCACTGMTAAGTGTCTACCACAACTTGGGCAACATGTGCACTGTGATTAATACTATTTTATTGTTTCAAYTATTTAATGTTACAAAAAACTCCACATGGTTTAAATTATTCACACAATATTAGTCCTTCAAAACAGAAAAAAAAATACAAAGTACATCAGAAACAGTATMACTGTATTTACAGGGCAGTGTCCTATTGATAATGGTACCAGGTATATTTTTGTTCTGTCAGTTATGTTATGATTTAGAAGTAACACAATAGGATTTAGGAAATAAYTGTAGTGTATTTGTAGTTCCTACAATGTTTGCTGCCACATTATTTTGCTGAATTGTTTGCTATAGACATCTGGCTCCTCTTCAACAGCTTACAGGAAAATGTTTCTTCCCACAGCATATTACTACTGAACTCTTCATTCAAAAAAATAAAAAGTAAAGAAGAAAAAAGGCACTATTCAGTCCACAAAATAAAGTCTTCAGACAGGAACACACCTACTATTAACTTGCTCTTTTATAGTTGCTGGCAGTTCATTTGCTCTTTGYGTCTCAGGTTTCCCCTCTTTTGCCTCTGGTATCTAAAGAGACATGATAATAAAGAACTTACTGACATTTTAAGCATTTTAAACCAATCCAAGTGAAAAAAAGCTATCCAAATAGTACATGAAMTATATTAAGTCTCAGAATCACCCATTCGACATAATTTCTAAAAATTACTTAACAAAAGGATGCTTATGAAGAAATTATCTATTAAAGCTTTTTATAATTTCAGGAAACAAAATGGTGCGCCAGAAACTGCTAACTGCTACTTTAACGTGATCAAATTAGCATTAAAGGAGGTGTCAACTTTTAAGCTTATAAATAGCATTTTTGTGGGGAAGTAAGTTTAAGGCCCATACTCAAGTTTAAAAAGCTTAATTAAATTAAAAATGGAGTGTCTCAGCATAACAGCTACTATGCAGCACAGCACCTACTTATTTGTGTGTACGTTCCTAAAACACACTGCAGTGACTGAAGAGTAGCTGTGATAACTGCTTATGGCTTAGAAGGAAGAATTTTAAGAATAATGTGCAACAGCTGAATACAACAAATTTGATTGAAGCAACTAKTACCATCAGATAATGGTGCAGCATTTGAGGCTAAAAAACCAGATGCAGCTACAGCTACTGCAACTCTCAGCTGGCCATCAGTGACACYGAGCTATATGAGCAATGTTTTGAGGTACTTCTGACAAACGACAATTTTTTCATCTTTTAACAGTGAAGAGAAAAAAAAAAAAATCACAATAGGTCTCAGTCACCTGCTTAGTCATGCTTTCTCTCTTGCGCCAGAACCACCACCGTCCAGACTTCTTTGGCATCTTTTCTTTGACCCAAGACTCAACAGTAGCCTGAAAAATTAGACATGTTTTTAATTTGTGTAAAAAACAAAGAGATAATCCTGTGTCACTACATACCAAATTTTTAAAGAAAGCATGCACTTATCTATTTACCTTAGGCAAACTCTTCTGAAATACCTGCAAACTCAGAATCATCGGAGCAGCCAATGCCCAGTTATAATACCTGTTTTAAAACATRTTATTGATAAGGTCAATACATATCRGTATGAAAACTTGCCCTTGTATTGTTGAAAATATGTACGTGCTGCCAACCACTAATATTAAAATTTCTTCACGCAGAGTCATTTTAATATATACAATTCAACATCAGTGGTAATTGCAGAAAAAAAAAATCTCACTTAAGCTAAAGCTAAATTTAATTCAAATCTTTGGTTCAAACAGATGCACACAAACTGCAATGGGAGCTCAGAAATGTGCTCACTTCGGGGACCAGATATGAAATGGGATTTTCTATGACCTAATTACATGACACGGAAAATTTACCTGTTATAAATCCGTATTACCAAATTAGGATTGTCTATGAGTCCAGGATTTTCGGCAAATTCATGATATGTAATAATATGTTCCATGAATTTTTCTGCAATAGAAAGGTATTTTAATTAGAAAATAATATTAAATCCTAAGAAGTCTGATTAGTTTATATCTAAGAAAACACTGTCATTCCAGAGTCTCTGCTGATCTCGCAGCATCACTGAGGATGTGCTRTAATGTGGCAAGAACACCTGTCAAGAGTCCTGTGACTGCCTCTTCCTACAGGCAAAGCCTTGTRCCACTTCAACAGTCACAGTAAACAGCATTAAGAAATTAGAAGAGGGAGGATAAGGAGGAACTAATTCAGTTCAAAGGCTGGAAAAAGAGTGCCATGTTTGTCTAGGCAAGTTTTCTTCCAAAAAATGTGATGGCAGGTATAGGGTCTACATACTACACTGAAAGGAGAGGGGTGAGACYGGTGTTAGCTTTTCAGGTTTGAGAAACTACTACTATCACTAGCACTACTAACAAACTAGCACTAGTTTGTTTAGCTGCCTGAGCGCTATTCCTCTTTATGCTTCAGTCTTTCACATACCTTTAGAAATTTCTCCATTTTTTCACATACCTTTAGAAATTTCTCCATTTTCATTGAGGCCTCCACAAAGTGAAAGTGTAACATCAGGCAAGTCCATTGCAGAATCAGACATGCATTCTGTGCCACTATCAGCAGCAGCACTTCCCACTGACTGGGGTGACTGGGAACCAGAAAGRGTATCTGACTCTGTCCACTGCCTGAAGCCAGGATCGGAATCACTAAAGGAGAGTGGAAAGCATTTTACTTGCAAAAAAGTAAAAATCTGAGATTATAGAAAACACCACATGATTACTCAAAAAAAAAAAAAAATCTTGCATTTGCGTTTTTACATCATTTCACAATATAAATTTAAAAGCAACCAAACAAAAATCCAGACACACACACCCAACCTTGCAACCTTTCATAATATTGGCAAACTGTTTCCAGTTCTTCTAATATGCATCTAAATTGGGAAATAATTGCACCTCTTGCCTAAATTGGATTTAAATGAGGAAAACATCCTCGGCATTCTACTTTTGTGCTCCTAAATCTTTAGCAGAAAGTTGTAAAATAAGAACAAGGAACAAAGGGCACTGCTTTGTGTTTTTAGAACAATGTGGGTTTGGAAAAAGTACAACAGAAAAGAAAGGTGACAAAAAAAAAATCAAATTGTCATCTAAGGCTAGAGTTACTAGTTTGACCCACAATTAGGTACTGAAAAGTTTGTAATTTTAGTTTTAACATAAACCAATAGATATTTCTTTCTTAAGCTATACTTTTACAAAGATAAAAAACCCCAAAAACAGACGAATTTTGAGACTGAACTGCCTTGCATGAGGATCCTGTTAGCTTTTTGTTGGTCTTTTTTGATATTGGAAAAAAAGGTAGGAAAACATGTACAGAGTATGCAAAACCCAAAGTGATGTGGGCACATCTTGAGCTAGCAGTATGGCAAAACAAAAGTACTGGTGCAAATGGGTTGTGCAGTTTAAACAAACTCCCCTCTGTATGCCCAACACACAGGTTCCACAAAGAGGAAAACTCAGTAGTCACCTCCCATGTGATTCTTCAACGTGTTTCTTGTCAAACTAGAAACAGCTTTTCATAACAAGATTAGTTATTGATTACTTTTGATTGATTACTTCACAAAAGTCTAAAAACCTGAAGTCAAATTCTTTTTATCAGAACTGGTGCATAATAATGCACGTAATAACTCAGGGTAATGCAACTGCAGAATTACCCCAGATTTCCTGCATTTTAGTTCAGAATTACCTTTTGGGAAAGTAGAGTGCTGCAACTTCAGGTTCCAATGCCTTYAGGTCATCCAAGTAAATATCATCAGGGCCTTGATGATGGCTTCGTTTGTGCACCCCTGTTAATTTTAACAATTATTATTACTAAAATGAAATTACCCAGACATGTTAAATGCAAACATAATCATGGTCGATTCAATCTTATTTGTATAATTTGTAAATTCCAGAGTTCAATCACAATTTTAGTCAGATAAGATTTTAAATAGGAAAAACTGAAAAGGCACATTTATATTTCTTTCCCCATGACCTCAAGTTTGGTAGATCCCACTGAGGACAAGAATCAAGAGCTTTATTCCATACCTTTCTTTTTTGAAGGAGAGTCAGTTTTTGCTGTTGGCTTTGTTTCTGGCAAAGGATCCACCAGTATTCTGGAAGGATGATCACCATCCAGGGGCAACGGAACTTGTGGTTCTACGACTGCAGAAGCGACAGAATCTTTAACATCCATCTGCTTAAGCAGAGGATGAGTTCTTGGCTCAGGTTTCAGTACTGTACAGACAGAATCTTTCACATCATCATCGTCTTCAACTTCATCAGAGCTGAGGATGACCCTAAAATGAGTCTTCTCTGATGGAGTAATGGTAGCTGTTCTGCARTGCTCCAGTTTTTCTTTCTTACTTATCTGAAAAACAAAAGTCTAGTCAATCCTTTCACTTGACCTGTTTGTTTCATTCTGTTCTAGACATTACATTTGTACTCATGGTACAAGCTCTGGTCAATMGTAAACCAGAAAATAATTTGAACAAGTATTTTAGCAACATAAAACATGTCCCACCATAGTAGCAAAGTTCCCAGCAAAAGAAGTTTCATATGAGCTTCTTTACAAGTTCAGTAAAGAAACTGGCACAGAGCAAGTGCTGACTTGACCAAAACATAGCAAGGAAAAACCCTAAGTCCATACTAAGTCCATACCCTAAGTCCATGTATCAGGGCATCTGTTAGATACCAAATTTACTCYTACCAAGGCTATAGTTCCTCTGGAATGAACTAGAGCTTACTCTACAATAAAGAAAATKAATTTCTAATATTGTTTCCTTCAGGTTCTAACTAAAAATTAAAAAAWTTCAGACTTTTGCTGCTAGGTTTTYTGGGTTTACTTTGCTGAGCAGCTTTTGAATTCAACAAAGCCAATTCTCTGCTTGCCACAAGGGGCTGCTACTTCCCCATTTCAGCTGCATCTTTCTGAACAGCAGCAGCAGATTTCCAGTCCTCTCCTAGGACACAGTCTTAAATATGCTGAAATTCAGTTCACAGAGCTAGAGACAATAAATTTACCTTGGTTGATTCTGGGAATCCTCCCCATGTCCATTCCATGTGGGATTCAGATCTCAGCAAGCTCTCAGCAGGCTTAACTTCTAGTTCTGAATCACTTTTAGGGCAGACTTGCTCAGAGAAAGGGCTACCAAATCAATAAGGAAAAAAGAAAAAAGAAAAAAGAAAGCTAGTGTTTAGAATGCATTAATGCATTTGTTGTGCAGCTACTGTTGGTGGAGTTTTCAACAGCTTAACAGAGCTTCAATTATTTGGWAACATGGCAAGAAGCCCAGCAGGGTTTTCAAACGGTGAGAAATTAGGTTAAAACCAAAATCACATTRAAGACATTAAAGGACTTACATAGTGATCACACTAAACAGATTCCTCCACTGCATCTGCAGTGCAGAAATAGCTCTCCCCTCAGCCCATGCTCYGTTTTTCAAACAAAACAAGAACAAAACAAAAATGTTTATCTAAAAGTAAGACAGAAAATTGTTCCTTACCTCTGTAAAAATATAGCATTTCAGCTTGCTATACAGACACCTGATTAGTAAGAGTCTTGCATACCWAACTCACAAGGGCATGGAACAACATCAATTCCCAATGCAGGGAAAAAAAACATTAAGGTAACTTAGGAGAGGAAAAGGAGATTACTTGAAAACTTCCTTCAGTTGTGTTTGAACTACGTGACCTTTAAAATCTATCCTATTTTTCCTACAGTGGTTATTATCTATAAWTCAGAAACAGACTTCTGAAATTTACTTCAGCCAAGATTATTTYAAAGCCAGAAGAAGTCTCTACAAAATGCTAGAAAGGAGTGATTTCAAAGTAATTTTGCACTTGAGATCTTACAGCTTAAAGAAATCATAAGGTTTTACCTACCCTTCCTTGAACAGGCCAGTTATATTACATATTACAGAAATGCTGCTCTTTTTACACTTTGACATTCATGACATACTACAGTTTGGGCTTCTATAAATAAATCTCATTATCTGAATTTAAACTGTAGGGACCAGAAATGGACACAGCCCTCCATGTGTGGCCTGACCAGCATTAAGTGGAGAGGSATAATCACATCTCTGTCTCTGCCACTAATGCCCTGGTGGCTGCAGCCCAGGATCTGATCTGCCTTTGTTGCTGCTGTGYTCTGCTGACTCATGTTCAGCTTGCTGTCCCCTGGGTCAGCAAGGCTGCTCCCAACCACACAGACAGCAAACTGTACTGGGCTCCTTGGTYATGTCATTCCAGTATGGGATTTCACACTTGTCTTTGCACTTGTTGCATCAGAAAGTGTTTCATCTTGATATAGGAAAGAGCTGCTTTACAGTGAGAACAATCCATCATCAGAATAACCTTCCCAGGAAAGTGGTCCCCATCACAGGAGGTTTTTAATTTGTGACTGGTCAGGGTGCTAGTCTATCTGTTTGAGACTCCTTCTTCYATAAAAGAATGGGCCAGATGACCTWCTGAGGTCACTCCCAACTTGGGTTGTTCAATGATTTAATACTGAAAAGTTTACAGTAACTCCCTCAAGTATTTCATTTATGGATTTTTTTTTTCCATACAAAATTCCTGCAAGGATTAGTTACCTAATTCAGTACCATACATCAAACTTTCTGAAGGTTTGGGGAACTCAAGTTTTGTAGTATCATACAGGACTAAACTGTGATCACAATTCAGAYTGCAAAACAGAAATGCTGCAAAAAYAGACACTACACAGGTCACAATCCAGACAGTAGAAATCTCTCATATTGCTCTGAGAGGACACCTCAAAAATCAGGACCTTTAAACATCTCTACAGTGGTGATTCATCATCTCAGTCAACTTCCAACCTTCATCACCCACCAACACAGAAAGAAAACCATTTAGATATTCAGTTCTCGATTAACAATGTCATACAGAAATCACATTTTCTGTACTATTAGARGGGTGTGTTTAAAGTCACACTGATGAAATATACATGTACATCTTTGTTTTCAGGAAGAATATGAACTAACTTTCCCTACATATCAAATAATTTATTCCACCTACACCACAAGTCAACTGGAAGCCATGCAGAACCTGTTCCTAAGCCTAATTCTTAATATTCAGCAGTACCTGCAAGAGATCAAATATTTCACAGCTTTGGGATCCTAAGTCTGTTCCACTTCCCCCAAAGTATGTTTTCCACTGTCATTCTCAGACAGAAGTTTTTAGCCAAAAGGCTTGTAATAGTGACCTAGTCGTGCCAACATTGCTTGTTTAAAAAGGAAGAATGATGGAAGATAGTATCAAGTAATTAATGGCCATGTTTTCTGTCTTATTATAGTGAGTAGCACAAATAAAGGCACACTCAGGGAAARGACTTGTGCTACTTTCTTCCTTGAGCTCCCTGCAAGGGGTTCTGAAGATCAAAACAACCAACTGAATTACAAGTTWGTCAGCTTTTTCAGATCTCCACAAAGAAATTTACTAAAACATTCTATTTCTCTTTTGCTGTATGATAGCTACATTATAAAATCTTCCTTTAAGATCGCTTAGAGGAAGTCATTTAAAGCAAAATTTCTCTTCTCCTAGATGGCTYGTGTGAGAGAATCCAACATACTTTCCAAAAACAGAAAGGAAAACTGCCAGTGTCTCTRTTGAACTGCAATCTGGACTGGGTAGCTTTTTGTTAAAAAACAACCCCAAAACTGTGAGAAGCCTCACATGAGGCCCAAACTAGTTTTAAAGCAGACTAGCCCCTAAATAAATAAATRARAAGAAATGCATGAATCATCTCTCCCAGATACAATCTGATAGTCTGTGTTAACTAAAAGTTTCAGAAACTGAAAAKTAGTATCAGCCTCTTTGCCACAGTCATCTAGATGATATAATCCATAGAGCAACRTGTCAATCCTTAGGGTCAAACACTGTGACTGCTTTTCAGTCACAAACCACAAACCTTTGGGGAACGCTGGAAGACTACATCTCATTAAGTGTAATTGAGGATGTGGTTGTCAGCCCAAAACATGAAAAGGAATGACAATGGGATTTCCTGTCCAACTGCTTCTGTTCATTAACAAGCTATGCGCTGGGGGAATTAGCAGGCACCAAGCATGGTGTGTACATTCTGACTCCACTGAGGCCACAACCCTGCAAACACCTGAGGCAGAGCGATCATACACTTCAAAAAACATTGGCTGAATGTTCTCTGCTCTATCCTGCACCACCATCTGTTGATACAGAAGAACAGGTACCTGTGCACTGAGCAGGTAACAAGCAACAATGGCCATCAGAGAAGGCTGATCAGTAATCCTCACTGACCCTGTGAATGKATCTGCCATGAGGCAGATTCCTCCATCAAACTGAAAAGCAGCAGAACTAGACACTTGCCAAAGAGCTCAGATGAATCAAGACACTACTTAGCATGCTATGTGAGACATATATGCCTTCTCCTGTATATTCAAGGTTCAGAGGAAGTACGAAATTTACCTCAAATACTACCACATATGCACAGAGTGCTTTCTTATGCATGGAGACATTGAAGTTACAATGGTGAAATCCAAAGTGTGAGCCTTGAAAAATCTACAAACTGAATGCAAGAGGAATCTAATAGCAAGAAACTGAAGAATGTACTTGAATGCWCAAACAGAAGTGCCCTGGTCACAGTGAAAACTGACTGGCAAAGTGTATTATGCCATTTTTAAGTATCCACAGTCAACTGATGCTGATTTTGGTATCTCTGGACAACCAAAGATACTTGAACACCAGCAAATCCTCTGTTCTGAGTGGGATATGATTCAAGTTTAGGATCTCGCTTTACCTTGAGAATTTGGATTACTTCACACTGTAAAATGTACCTTACATACTGAACACTTCTGCTTTCTGACAGATCAATTAYTGCTCATRCAAGGGTGAATCATAGGGAACATACTCATTTTCCATACCCTTCTCACCCCAAGGGAATCTTATTAACTGTATTTCCTCCCTTTAACAGAGAAATAATACATTGCGTAAAGTTCCCAAAGTTTCAAATTAGTACAAATGCTGCATTTGGTATCACAAAAGTTAGGCAAACTTGATAGTTTCACAGACCAAGGGGAAAATTAACAAGGCATTGTATTTTTTTTTTATAATTACTCAGCATTATACAAATGATATTAAAAAATGACTTACTTCTCCAGAGGGGACCAGTCTCCATCAGATAAGGGGTAATGGTCCTTCGAATGATACATCAAAGATTCTTTTTGCTCTTCACCCTTTGGTGATGAATTTGAGGATCCTCTGCGGAAACACATAAGATACCAAGTCATCTATAAGAAATCTGCATTACTAATTCAGCAAAAAATTACACAGATGTTATTAAAAATCTAAGAACAAAAGTAGGGAGTGTATAATCTAAAGGATTTGCTGTTTGCAAGACACCTTTATGTAATTTAAAATTAATTTAAAACTATTATTCATAGTTGAAAATACTGCAAACTTAATAATCTACTACTCCTGCAAGTTAATACTGAAGAAATCCCAACAGCATAAATTATTCTACTCTACATGAGTAACAGTAAGTGATATTACTCTACACAGACAGATAATATTACCAAAACATAAAGATGAACATACATTTTTACACATAAACTTTACTGTGTGAATCTTACAATCACAGGAAAAGTTAAACTTGAAAGGGTAGTTTTGACAATGTATATTTGACAAATTAAGACAGTATAAAACCAGGGGTAGGTACTAGCAAGAGCTTACATTAACATCCACTACAACAAGGAGATAAAATACTGTACTTTTCTGAACAGTGGGGCTTAGTTTGCACTGGGGAGTCTACTCAGTATCTAAGACCCAAACCCAATCTACAGTGAGGCTCACTGAATAGCAATTCATCATATTTTACACATAAATACCTTTTAAATATTACCACCATAAGTACTTCAGATCGTTTTACAGCTTTCTGAATTTAATTGAATAAATACCTATTCGCAGGATACAACTATCTTGGTTTTGAGTTTAGATCAAGGGCATCATGGCTATACAGTGGATAAGAATCAAGGAAGACAGGCTTTTGAGTGCAAAATGCACTACAATTTGAGTGCAAAATGCACTAGAAATTATTTTAAGTCATTATTATGAAAGAAAAAACTATCATTCCAGTGTACAGTTGCACTGGATTTGCTTCGCAAGGCTGATGCTCATTTCTCTTATGGATGGTGAAAATATTTTGCTACTTTCAGATATGTAAGTATTTAGAATTTACATGCTTACTCAATTAGACATTACGCAGTTACAGTGATCTACCTCATTTGCACAAGTCTTTCATTTGGAAGACAGTCTAGTTAATGTAAATACTGAACTCTTAAAAATGTCTTTGTAGCTCCAGYTCTTATTCCGTAGTAGTAATCTTAGGAAACCTGATGATGCAGCCTGACTTAAGATGAAAACTGCAGAGAATTTACATCCTCTGTATCCATAAACCAAGTCAARTGTGACAGAAATATGCTTCATACTATCTCTGTAGGCAGTTTAAAAGTATTTCCAAAAGAGGAAAAACATATGATTGAACAACCAAGTAAATACAAAAAAMTTATTAGAGAGGTCCTCAGTATTTTCACTTCAGTGGGGAGGAAGGCAAGATGACACATGGGTGGTACTGAACACATTTTATTCACTGAAACTGGCAATAAAAAGGGGTCCTACAAAGGATTCAAAAAAATCAAATTTAACCAATAAATGGATAAACCCAAAAGTTAAAAATCCAAACTCAGTCAAAAAGTATTGAAAATATGAGGGGAAAATCAGTATACATAAACTTGTAGTGTCAGGCTGCACAATCAAGTCTAAGCTATTCATTGTGCAACATTTATAAATAGTACTGCCACTTCTCATCCTTATCTACTTTACATATAGTCTAAATAAATATGTAAGATTTCAGAGAGAGACAGCCCCTTCAACAGCCTTAGCACTGAAGAAAGAATGCCTTCTATATCTGAGTTGCACATACTGTACAATCTCAGTCTTCTGGTATTATTTTTTGTAAGTCCAGCACTACTAACATATCTAAATMATAGCTGGAAAAGACAAAGGACATATTTTGAGAAAAGCTGATAAACACTTGGTAATAGATTTTCACAAGAAACAGGAAACATCTTGTTTTCTGCTTTATAAGAAAAGAAAGATAAAACATTACAAACTGCCACCTGTAACTGAATTTTTGACCTTCCTGTTAAAATATTAGCCTCCCTTTTCCTTTCCTAGTTTCACTTTGAAATCTGAAGCTATGTCTAGTAACAGTTAGGTTTCGAATTTCTTATCTTTCTCCTTTTCAAAGCTACACATTTGTAAAAAAAAAAAAAAAACCTAAAAAACCACCACCAACAACAAAATTTAAAAAAAAAAAACCCACACCAACCAAAACAGCACAATCTCAAACAAAACAAACTTATTGATATCTCCTTGCATACCCACAGGGTTTGAAAAGAAAATGTATGAACACTTTTTCACAACCATATCTTTAGCTGGGAAGAAAACAMGTGCATGCCTATTGCTCAGTAGCCCACTACAATGAGAGTGTATTTTCTCCACTAACAGACACAGAGACACAAACTTACTGGCTTTAGGCCTTGATTACTAAAATGTTTTTTGGTTTTTTTTTTTTCACTCCTGCATTTACTTACTATTCACAGGGAAACAGCATTCTTTTACAAAATCTTCTTTCCACTTTATGAAACTAMCTGCATTTCTACTGCTATTTCTGCTTATACGTGTTAAAAAAAAAGTTTACAAATAAACAGCCTCGCCAATCTTTCATTCTAAAGGGAACAAAAAATAAAATCAGAGCWAACTTGACAAAAACACCATGGTTTGYTCAGCTATRACTAAACATTTGACATTTCAGTCAAACACACCGTTTTTTATTCATCTTAGTCAAAGTAAGATAATTGCTAGAAWAGCAATTTGAACCTAAACRCTGGATGAAAACAGCCATTATTAGTGTGACATTCCTAAATTCTTCATACATKTTTAATGATAYATTAAATAAAGAATAAACAATTCATGGGTTATATTTTCTCTCTTTCTGCCCTTGAAGGCTATTTTTATGTTTGGTGGTTTCCCTATGACAAGCCAATTGTTTACTTAATAATTGCACACTGAAGACTGAGCAAAGGTCTTCCTTTTCTTTAACTGAAAAAATGATAAAAATCTCAAACCAAACAAAATGCCAACTCCCAAACTTAAACACAGCAGTGAATACCTAAATGACAATTCATTGACATAAATGTGACACTAACAAAACAAGGCAAATGAAATAAGAAAGCCAGACATTCTAAAAACACTTTAAAATCCAGATTTTGTTTGYTGTGTTTTACTGGTCACAGATATGATAACAGATGCATGTTTTTCGGTTGCAGTAACCTTTTCGGCTGGTACTTACTAAATCTGTGACTTCTTTGAACAGTCTGAAAAAACTGAAGGAGTTTTTTTCAGTTATATTTTATTCTCTTACACCAAAAGCAGACCTGACCTTGAATTTATTCAGACAGTATTATATTTAAGAACAATGCTTTCCAGTTTAACACCTAGCTTTCTTTGAAAACTAGGTGCTGATKAGTAGGCTTTTCCTAGATTTTAAGCATTTATATGTTTGATAGCTTTCACCTATTATCCTAATCTTTCCTGTTATCCTATAGACTTCTTCAGCTTATTAGTGCTACCACTTCAGCACAAGCTCCATTTTACAAAGAGTTTATCCACAAAATACAGAATTGATTTTTTTTCTCCTTTTTTTTCCTCCTCTTCACACACATAAAAAGAATTTTATATGGAAGGGACTTTCCTTTATGTAGTTAYCAGCTACCAAAATAAACTTGAGGTTACAGAGAAGCCAAATTCAGATGTGGTGTACTACAGGCATTCCACACTGCAGTCTATGTAAAGGTTACCAAACACACCAGAAGACCACACTGCTTCATCAAATTACACTGAAAGTTTCTCASTCACACAACAGATCATAACRAYACTTCCTCACCTGAATGGCCTTAATGGTATCTCAAGTTCATAAAAAAATGGCCCAACTTTAAGGCCAATCTGTGAAGATTTGGAAGATACCAGTTTGGACTTTTGTTTGTTTGTTCAAGGAAAGGCATAGGCAGAGCCTACCAAAACTTGGGCAATACTCRCATAGAGGAAATRAAMAAGTCAYCTTTAAGATGTTCAGTGATAACAGCAATGACCTAAGAGCTCACCTTAGGGGCTGTACACTTTTCTCATCATCTGAGCTTATTTCCATTTCGAAAATCTCTTCAGTACCMGCAGAAGAGATCTGATCTTCCTTCCTGCTATCTTGTTTATATTTCTTTCTTCTTCTTTTYTTCTTTTTCACAGAACCTGGGGTAAATACAGTCTCTGTTTCTGCAGAGTGTGGAATTTCTGAGTTTGCACATGTCCTCTCATTTTCACCTGATTTCAAATGATTGTCRTTATCTTTAAAAAACTGATCTTCGGTGGGTATTGGAGATGTTGCCAAATAAGCAGGAACTTTTTCCTAAGGAAAAAAAAAAAAAGAAAAAGCTATTTTTTTCCAATTTGTTTTGTGCACACGATAGCTTTTAGCTACAGATTATTCCCTGTACCTATATTTAGGCAYAATGCCATACAGCAGCCTAGTGGTATGAAGCTGATACCCAAAAAGCAACCAAGTTCACTGGAGTGATTACAAGAAATKCTGAAAAATGCATGTTAGTATTCTTACCATTTCAGACACAAACAACTGATWTTGCCAGCAAAGCAAATACCCAGTCAGTGGAATGTTTTTGAAGTCATCTGCTCTGAGCATGCCAGTTCCATGTTTATGAAATGTGTTAATAAAACAAGGCTAATTAAATCCACTGCTGTTTATTTTGAAACAGATTCATGGGAAGGTATAGGTTGAAAGAGACATCTGGACACCATCTGGTCCAATCTTAAGTAGAAAGCAGGGMCTCGGGTTAGGTTATCCAGGGCTTTGACAAGCCAAAGTTTGAGTATTTCTARTGAGGGAGTCACTTCTCTAGGCCACTATTCCTGTTGCATTGTTTTTCCAGAAAAGGATTTTCCTTATATCTAACTGAAWTTTTCCCTTGTGCTCTGTACCCCATCTCATCACTAGTCAGCCATATAAAAAGAGTGCCTCTGTTCTAYACCTACCTTGTGGGTACTGCAAAACTGTGCTTAGATCCCCCTGAATCCTCTCTAGGCTCAACAGAACAGGTTCCAGCAACTTTTCTTTCGATTCCTCTAAGCCCTCTACCAAGTCTCTCCAATTTTCCACATCTCTCCTGAACGGGGGAGACCAGAACTGTGTTCCAGATTTGATCTAACACACACCAGGCTGAGTAGGACCACCCCACATCCCTCCATCTGCTGGCTGCGCTGCTGCTGATACATTTGCCTTCCCTGCTGGAACACATTTGCCTTCCCTGCTGCAGGGCACTCTGCTGGACAGATGATGAAAAGATGCATTTTCTCCAGTCAGATCCCAGCCTGCACTGCTGTGTGAGATCCTTCCAGCCCACGTGTGAGACTGCACGTGTATCTTGGTTAAACCTTGTGTCAATCTCGTTGGTCCAGTCTCCCAGCCTGCCAAGCTGGCTGTTTSTGGTGGCTTTTTTTCTGACCTGTCTACCTCTCCTCTCAGTTCAGTGCTACCCACAAAATCGGTGAGGGTGCTTCCAGTCATGTCAATACATTATTTATGTAAAGTATCTTCCAAAAGACCAAGTCACTATAATTCACTCACCTTAAAACCAGCATAGAATTAACCAACCCTCAACTAATTATAGTCCACTGCCCTCTGAAGAAAAAGCTTTAGCTATGGGCTGCCTGAGGTTTATTTACATCATAACAAGAAAGTGAAGACATTGACACCTAGTCTGACAGAAACACACTATGAAGGGACAAAGACAAGGTGGAACAAAAAGCAGAAGAGAATGGAATTTGCAGAGTGAAGAGAAAAAGTTATTGAGCTCAATTTCATGGTAGAGAATAGAAGTAATTACAAGATAYGTTACTGGACTCTTGGGCAGAAGATTAGTCAGGAACACTGATGAGACACAGCCAGAGCACTGATATTACTTTCGATGTGTTCAAAGTCTTATTTGCTATTTAATACTAAATTCAATTTTTTCACTGCATTAAGAGTTAGAGAACGAATTTCGTTCCAATGGTAGAGTGAAGTAGAGAAAGGAAAACAAAATACAGCCTTATATAACATTGATGACACATAGATTTTGCATTGTGAAAAGCCTTGAAATAAAATGCTAGCACATAAATTGAAGTTCATATTCTACACAATTAGTGATAAATAATTAAGAATAACTAACTAAATMCATAAAACACTCAGGAAAAGTTAAAAGAAAACTAGCTGAAAAATTGTCCTGATTTACATGGATTGAGGTGAGTGGTATTACTTCTGAATGTCAAGATGTGAAAAATGCAAAGACTGATCCCTTAAAGGATCTTTCTCAATCCCCCCAAAGGAAACAAAAATCGTTRAGAGATTTATGATTTATGCCTTAAGCATAGCTTCAACAGGCAAACAAAGACGCTGATCAGCTGCAGGAAAAAAATGTGTAAAAATAATTCAGTTTTGCTTTGCAGCAAGCTATAAATCTATATTTTCAKCATGAACTACCAGCTTTCAAGAACACATTATACACAGATAAAGCATTCTTGTTATAAATCAAAATGTACTATGCAAGTGYAACAACTCCTTTAAAACATTGTACTGGGGACAAAGGCAGTGGTTATTACCCTGGCTTTGTGAAAGTCATAAGACTGATCAGTTCCCATCAATGTCTGACACAGCCTAGATCTATAAAAAAAACTGCTTTCAGTTTTTGTTTTAATCATGGTGCATGCTGAAACTGAACTCAACCTTCCTTTAGCTTWGGTGTTATGAACCYSTACCCCAARTTATTATTTGGGGTATTAACACCTATTTKCTCCTTCAATTTTAAACTSYACATAGGTCCTTTCAATACAAGAGCTCCTTCTGACCCGTACAGTAAACAAGAAGCACCCTAAACTAAAAACTGGATCAATTTMATTGCCTTGAAAGACTGATTCTTAGTAAAAAGAGGAAATYAACATTATCTTTTACTTCACTGAGACAATTTTTCTTCTCTCTTCTGACTATTTTCATTAAAACTTTTGGAACCWTGTATTTAGAACTACGTTCCTTCAGACTTGCCAAAAAATGCCAGCAGACTCAAAAGTAATCAAAAGCAATGCTCAGGACTGACCAATACTGTGATTAAATAGCTCCCATATCCTTAGAAAAATGGAGCAAAAATGAACCATTATTCCTGTTTTTCAGAGGCTTATTACTTTCCAGTTGCAAGAGACTCTTGGGAAATAAATTTCCAAGTCAAAGAAGTTACTGTTACCTGTTGAAAGTTTAATAAAAAAAATTATGAAAAACTGGGCTAAAATTTGTAAGAYAGCTTAAAAATATGCCCCCAAAACAGACTACCTCTATGAGGAGAGGAACAAGCTATGAGAATGTAAGGCAAAAATTATAGTAAGACACCACCATCAGTATAATTTCAATCAACAAGGAGCTAACTAAAACAAAATAAAAAATTCAACACAGCTTTGAAAAAATGCTCTAATTAATAAAAAAATTAGTTACTTTATTATTCCTAAAAATAATAGTGCAGCAAAATTGCACTAAATATCAAGCATCTTGGGTACATATGAAAGTGATGCTAAGATTCAGTCACAGAAAATCTAGCTTCCACAGAAGGGAATATACTGACAACACTGTATTAAGCATTTTTAACACATTACTCTGTTAATACTATATTGTAGCCATCAAGAAGCACAAAGCCCTTACATTTTCCTCCTCGGTTTCTTGTACAAAGAAAGCTTCTCCATTGTCACCCAGTTTCATATGAAGATCAACAGCATCGCCATTAATTTCTATATCAATCTGTGGAAAGAGAAAATTTATTGTAAATATTTCATCATGGGGAAAGCACTGACCTCATGGCCCACTTAGAGCTCAGAAAAAAGGTTTTTCRTTCTATAATTGGGTCTCTCTCTCCTCTCTCATACAAGTCTGTCCTAATGATCTTTAATTTGTTTGCCTGCAAAATACCTCTCATGCTCCTGGCAGAGAGCCTAACACCTACAAGAAAAGTAAGAAAAAAAAAGTATAAAGACTGAATCTTGTTCAAACAATTATTGATCCAGTCTCTATTTCACAGAAGAATGAATGAGACTGTTTGTATGTTTAAATCTCAATCTAAATTGGGGCCAGGTATGAATCTGAATCCTAAATACCAAAAGTTCCACCTGGGAGCCTCCTGGAGGCAGGCTTTGTCTGAAAGTGGTACAAAACTTGCCACAATTATTTCTGCAACTCAAGTTAGTGTTCCAGATTTTCCTGCTCATGTGTTTATAGGGGTATGACAGGACCACAACCCATCTGCAACCACAGATTTTTTTCTCAGAGAATACTACTTTTATTATGCTAAAAAGATACTTTTTAGCTARGAAAACACAGCCATAGGAGATGATAAATTGGGTAAATAACCAAACATGTAGGGGAACTATACTCCAATCCTTAAGATAATCAGTTTTCTTTTTCCTCACAATAAATGACTGATTTTGACCTGAAAATTGTATTTATTTCCTTTCTGTTTATTCTTAAAATATTTTCTTGTATTTCCAATTCAGCAACATGGATTCAAAAACCATCACCTTTTCTTTATGATGGTTTAGACATACAAACATCTCTAATTTTAGTACCTACAACTCACACTGGTTTCTGAAGACTTCAGTAACTTCATACAGCTGAAGTTGAAATACAGATGCTTTATGTTCCCACACATCTTGGGACAACCAATTGATCTTGGCCTCATGACATGTCAGAGAAAAATGTATCCACAATGCTGTAACAAACACTCTACTGACTTTTGAGAGAACTGTATAAACAGTAACTCCCAGGACAGACAAAATAACGAGCAGCAGTCATCCGCAGAAGCAAAAGCTGAGAATTATRCTGATAGCCTAGTACAACAGGTACCAAGAGTAAATGTTTACACTATTCACCAGCTTTTTAGAGGTACCCAGAAGCTGAAAACCTTTCAAATTTTGTTCAGCTGCTCAGAAGTGTAATTAAAGACTTTTAAAAAACTCATGCTTCAGACCACTCCTGTTGTAAGTGTACCTCACTTGCCTAGACATCAGAAAAAGTACAGCTCTACCACCTCCCTTGTACCCTGTTGAACACTAATGTGTCACAAAACTGTTAAGGTAAATCAATTCTTTGTCATCAACGAGCTTGTTAAAATAAACACTAAGGAGTGGGAAATCAAACAAAAAATAAACTAAACACCAAGCCTGCTACTCGCCTGTTTTACCATSACAAGCATCCAGCTTTAATGCATGCAACTCTCAGTACTGATCTTTAACAAAAAAAYTGCCCTGACCTAACTGCTCTTTTAGTTTCACTTTAGTCTCTTTTTTACAACCAAAATATAAAGATAGGGGTAGTTTCCTGCAATAACCATTAACTCCTTAAAACGCAGAATACAATCCTGAGGGTTCCTGTCCCGTTTAAATCAATCCATCTTTTGGCAGCACACCCACACGCCAGACACAGTATTCCTTACTGACAGTAAAGACCCCCCACAGCAGGTCCATTTTCCAGCCAACACAATCCAACTCACTCTTTTGGCATGATTAACAAAGCCTGTGGGAAAGGGATGGCAGGACAATCTGCTCSAGCAGCACCACCACCTCAGAATGGCTGGACAGGATATTGTACCAGGTTCTCTTTCAAACACACCCACACAGGAATGAAGCTTTGGTCTCAGTTTTTATTTGCTTGGATATTAATAACTGTATTTTCTACTGCAAAACACCCTTGAACACAGCTAAAAGGAGCAATATTTATAATAGGTCACCAACACTTAACATATGCTCTGTTTGTCCTTCAGACATTCCAAAAACAGTTGCTTACAACATCAAGGATCAGTTAAACAGCATTAAGCATTTGTTTCYCAGCATACTTGGATAAGTAAACAAATAGCCCCATGTAAACATTTTAGAACTGTGAAGTCTATATACTTGTATTAGTCTTTTAGGATAGCTCCAGAGCTGTCAAACCTTTTCTTTCACAGTATTTTTGCAGAGTCCTTAGATTAACACAAGTTTTGTTTTGCATTCCAAAGCTACCACTTTGTACAGTGTTCAAGAGCAACTGCTCTGGACTAAACCTGCCTGCTAACTGGGAAGGGGAGCTGGGGAAGGAAAGAAGAAGGGAAAGGGATACACTGGTACTCAGAACTTTACATTGACCCACTTTCTGAACTTACCACTTTTTCTTTAGAGCGCAGTACACCAAGCTTCCCAAATCGGACATGGAAAGGAGAACACTGGTATGTCCCATCCTGCTGCCGGACCACAATGACATCGATGCATCCCGAAAGGGTTGCCTGATTAATGCCTTTGTACAGCTCCTTCACAGTAACCAGGACTTGYCCTGCAAGTTGCCCTACGTAGTTCATAGTCTGAGACTAAGGGAGAGAAAGAAAGACATAAAATGACTAAGTAAATTTAAAACACATGAAAGGTTTTTTAAAATTAATTTTATAAAACATATAAATAGGTGTGCAATGTCATTTATCAATTACTCTGACCATTGTAACAAGCTTTACATAAATGTCTTCAAGAGTCAACAGAATATTGAGGCAATCCTTCTATTACTAAAAGTCTCCAGAGTTATAAAACMTACTCTTAATGCTTTATCAACTTGAATCTGAGACTAATTAAATATGTTAAAGAAAATTTTCAAGAATGTAATTTCTAGACCTCAAAGCCTAGATTTAAGTGACRCTTAATAACTCAGATAAGCTAAAAAAAAAATTAATTCTCTGGAGAACAGCCTATTTAATGTGACTGATCCTCTACTGAAAATGGAGATAACTGTACATAAGGATGCAAAAAAAMCCCTTAGAAGTCAGGAAAACCTATGTAGAGCATACTGCATGCAACTCTTCCTTTACAGCTCTGTATTTCAAAAATGGCTAAGTCATCTTAAGCGAAATTATCAAAGTATGTAATGGGAGAAAAACACACGTYAAGATCATTATGCTATAGTCAAACAGGATAAAGAAGAGCACAGAATGACTTACTGAAAATTCTGTCTAATCCATTAAAAATACTTCAGTAAATGATTGAATTCTGAAATGACTGCAAGTCTTTCAGACTAAGAACACAATGTAAACTATGACTGCCAAAAAGAAATGAAAATCCAAAGCTTTCTCAGAACATCTGAGCTTTAAGAGAAAGACAAGAGAAAACTGTGAAAATGTTCTGATAGAAACTTAAGTGCAACCCTTCCTCATTCTGCCATCTCCTACCTCCCAACCCGAAGTCTGCTAAAGTTCATTTATAAAACCAAGCAACTGCAGCCTCGGAAGTTACGCATATTTGGGAAAACAAAGAATCACTGACAACAAGCAAAAAACCCAACACTGAACCCATAAAAGAGCCTAAATTCTTTTTTTAAAAAGTAATARATCTATTTTGGGATATTATTTCTAGGAAAAAATCTGCAGTGATTTTTTTTAAATTTGCATTTCTATTTTTATTAGTCACTGAACAAGGTTTAGGATTTTTCTTAATATCCCTAAACAAAATTGTACTCSTTTACAAGAGTTCTCCCTACTGGTATTGCTTCCATTGTCTAGAAAATTAATCARTTATTTCTCTTTTGAGCCTCCAAAGTCTTCCTTACAGTAACTCAGGGAATCTCTCACTCAAAAGGGAGCTACTTTTGTGGCATCTATATACTCACATAATTGTAAACACGCAAAAAATCTTAAACTACTTTCATACTTAGAGCAAATATRGAAACATTTTTCTTCATCCCAGCTTTCCCATATCTTACCGACATTTACAGAAACAAATTCCTTCCTCTTCACAAGATTTACAAAGAAARGTGGGGGGTTTCCACTGTCTTGAAACTATCCAGAGAGTTACTATGCTAGGTAACATACTAGAGAACCTTTTTTCCTGTAGCCTCTGTACAATATGGTGATGAAGACAAAAAGAACAGACTGTCACTGAGTGAGTAATGAGATCAGGAGGATGAACTCCCTATCAACATTAGTCATTGGCTCAATTTCATCTCTAAGTAGCTTCGTGTACTACTATAAAACYGACTGCTGACATTGAAGTAATAGCTCACTCTTGCTAAAGAGGGAAGGTCTCACTTCAACCTTTCCTCATCTGACCCTCTTAAAGAGCTGATTTGAGCTCACTGACACAGCTGGCAAAAGTCTACCATTTTTTGTTGTTGTTAGTAAGATTAGCTCGCTAAGCAGAACATGACAAACACCTGAGTCATGAGGCACTGAGCAGCACCAGACAGCTTGGGGAAAAAAAAAAAAAAAAGACAGGGAACTGAAGATCTTCCTTTTGACAAGTGAGATATTTGCTGCATCTCACTGAACTGTAATTCAAGACAGAGAGGTTACAATATCTCTGCTTTCYTGTTGAAGCAAGTAGTCTTTCCCTAATAATACAGTCATATTTCAAATCAATTTCATGAAAAAAACCATCTTTAATGTATAATCATTTTCATTCATGGCTCTACCTTGGCTACTTTCAAGAGCAGTCTATGGTATCAGCTTAGAAAGAAAAGCTGATTTTGTGTCACCAAGGAGACTGCATTTGTTAAAARAAATGTTTGACACTATTGGAGGTASAAGTCTTTAATAGGGTCTCCATTCCATATATTTCATTTCAGTGAACAGGACTTGAGAAGTAGGCATTAGCAAGGAATTCCCTATGATTTAAGTAGCGACTTCTTAAAAGATCAGAATTTCACACCTTCTGCTAAGAACTGAGTTCAGATGAGAAATAATCTAGTTTTTCTCACATACGTGCTAACTTGACCACAGAAATTCACCACACAACCCACACAAGWCCAAAGCATTCACCCATTTCACATACAGTCTTGTTTTCCTGTAGCAAGAATACCCTGTAGCTATGTTATCTCTTCTACAGGTATCAGTTACATTTCAGCAGCTCACAGCACAGCCACTTTTATGAAGCGACATAAACTGAATAACCTCTTACATTTGAAAGYTGATAGCTGTTTCACTCTTAAATGAGAAAAAGTTGTAAACTTTTGTACCTACTGAGCATTAAAAACACTGCTTATAAGGAAAGCAGCTTTTTATGATCCAAGTCTTAATGCAAATGTTGTTTGGTACACTGCAAGTAAACCAAACTAGATAAAGGTAATAAACTAAAGCAACATTATTACCTACCAGGCTGCAGTTCAGCTTTCCACATAATGGTTCACTATGCAAGATAAGCATGTTATATAAGATGGATCAAACTGTAGCAAGAAAATGATCAAATAGAAATGAAGTGCCACTATATACCTAAGAAAYATGTCATTTTATCTCAAATGTCAGTAGAACCCCTGATGGGAGATTTTAAAATTTGGGCCCTAGGATTTGGTTTGGGATTAGCTTCAGTTCTGTTTGTTTTCTTTGAATGTYATTGTATATTGTTGGAAAACTACAGTGAGAAAGGAACAGTGTAAAATGTTATTGTGTTAATTYGTGCAAATGCAAGAGAAATATCTTGATCACAGAATAACCATTAAAACAAAGTATTTCCTTGATAACACTCTTTATTTCAAGCTTAGTAAGCATTACTTAAATGTCATTGCCTTGAAAGCAGAGAGCAGTATGCCTTCATAACCTCCTGTAAGAACCTAAAAAACATGTTGATTTCCATTCTTGAAATTCAAGACAAAAGCCTGATGGAAAAGCCAAGCTAAGAAAGGGCAATGCAGTGATCCTTCACAATACTGTTTAGCTTTTAAGTTTTATTTCCTTTGATATCCAGAATCTATACATTGCCCGATGTAGTGAAATTCCGGAACRCTGCATAAAAACTCAGGTTAATGCAGCTCACTACTACTTACTCTTCTAAGACAGCAAATCAAAAGGCTATGAATACCTGAGGTATCAGAGCGCAAACACTTTTTTGTGACTTCTGAGGCTTCAGAGAGACTGATTTTTGAATATTTATGCAACACTACCTACTCTGCAAAACTTCTTACAGCTGAATATATTAATAATGCTAAGCTAAGTGCAACTGTAATTGAAATGGGAAAAAGAACCTGTCATATCATGAAAATAATTGTTTYTCTGGCAAGAAGCCATTGCACTGCCAAAAGCAGAAACTGAAACTGCTTTGGTTTTTTAACTTTCTTCTTCTGAGAGAGCACTAAAATAAAAACAAACCAAGAAAATATCTACTTCAGCTGTTCAATAACTAAAAMCAAAATTCTGTGCCTCCACCTATAAAGTACTCAAATCAGTTCAACTAAAATTAACCCTGAATAGGCTGTTTGACTTCCTCATGTTACAGCAATGGCTCTCAGCAATAATGATTAAACAGAACTCCACCTCAAGAGTATCTAATATGCTCGACATGACAAACAAACAGATTTTCAAAACTCATTAACGGGAAATGCTTACATTAGCATTACCTGAGCAGGAGATTTTGTGGGTAGGAATTATATCTCTGTACCATTAACAAAGATATTATTTTGGCTGCCACTAGACCAACATGTTCTCTTTAACTTTTTTTTTTATTCAGTAATATCCATATACAGGTGCAAGATACAACCAAAAGTCCGTCCACAATAAGTGTTTTCTGTGCATGTAGAGTACCRCTTTACTAATGGTAAATTGCAGCCTTTTTGTTCTTAAAGCCAACATCTTTTATACAAGTGCACCCAAAAGAACATGACTACTAGAAGTACCGAGTTCAACAAGAGAAAGAGCACAAGTTAGTCAAAGCTATCCGATTGCTCTAGAGAGCTACCCTCTCTAGAGGGCATGAATTCYAACAAACACTGCAAGAAAAGAGTTACCTAAATGTAAATCTTAGCTTACAGGAGAGTAGATATTCATACATCCCATTTATTTTGAGATACATTTAGAGGATTAAAATAGTCTAATGCCACATGATGCAAACAGCAAAGAYGTTGTATTTGTTTCAAGAGATTAGGCAGAACAAAATAAAAACACATAGAGCAGTGGTTTACCTCAAAGTAATTTTTCCTGCATTTGCATACATACAAATTTATGAGGCAGRAGCTTTCCTTAAGCAGAGAAAACCTTTAGTAAGTGTTTYACTAGTTTCTATTTTGTACCCTGAAAAGACTGTGAGGAAAAATGACCCATCAAACATGACCACTGTAGCATCAGGTYTACTTAACAAAAACATCTTTGTTCCCAAGTAAAGATTCTAATTGGGGGTTAGGATTGCTCCTAGTACTGCACAGAGCAGTTATGGAACAAAAATGGAAAACACAAAGTAAGTCTGTTAAATGCCTAATTAAAGTCTTCCACATACTATTAAATATAGGCAGACAATTTTTATATATTTTAACTGTGTTATAGGAAATTATAYACCTATACTTAGCAATAAGTTTGTCAAACTCACCAAGATTCCAGAAGGAACCTTTTCAAGAGCAGCACCATTACTTCTATTTGAGTCATCTTCAAGAACATCCTTTTCTGAGTTATGCATCTCAGAAAAAAGAAAACTAACTTTCCACTATACAGGTAAATRCAAAAATTATAACCAGAACAGAATGTTGTAGCAGCATTTCTTTTCKTCTCTTCTCATAGARGCAGAAGAACTATGTAAATCTTCTGGTCTCTTAGAGGAAACTGCTTGGTATACATTCCCACGCAGAATTATGAGTAAAAAGGAAGTGCTTCTTTAAGAAAGCTCAACAGAAACTCYCTCACCAATAGGCTTTGCTTGAAATGTCACAGCCCCCTTGCGGGCTCCGAGATAAGTAATAACATGGGCAGACTTTGCCATATGTTTGCACTGATAGGTGATGATCTTGGYTTGCATCACATCACGTGACTTCAGCTGAAGCTCCCACGAAAACAGGGATTTAGTTAATGATTCTTAAGCAAAGTCTACATTAGCTCACTTGGAGACTTTTCACCCACTGTTGTAACTCCACCACTGGCAGGAGCACTCAAAGTCCTGGCTCAGCCTAAGCCAAGACTGCCTGCTGACACTCCATGTGCTGCTCCTCTGGTGACGGCGTCACCAGGGCCACAGTCATGTTTGATACAGCACATTTGACAACATTTCAGGGTCTGGTATTTGCTGACTGTTTTCCCTCCTTCTTGAAATTACATAATAACAGTAAAGAGGCAACTGACCTGCTGTGAAGTTTATACTAAACCAAACAAAACCAATGCACACCATCACATACCATTTTCCTGTGGAAAATCACTTGCTTCCAAGTATAATTTAAGTGGGTGGGCAAAACATACAAGCTTTTTAGATAACTTTCTCCATGATCCAGAATAAGAATTAATTTTTGATCTAATAAATTTTGAAATGTCATTACTTAACTAAATAATATAGTGGATAGGTGAAATAACTGAGGAAGAATAGTAGCATAAGGAAACAATTCTGTCCAGAACATGAGAGACATTCTCTGAGGACCATCAATATTCCCACAAAATAGACAAATTCCCATTACTCTAAACCCGTGCATCTCCTTCCCATCCTCAAGGGGTTACTGTATGCCTGCTCAGAAGACTGTGAAGGATTGCTTCTTGAATTACAAGCTTAAAAAAAAAAAAAAAAAATCTATCTAGGACCCTACTACTATTCCTCCTCTAAGTTTTGTAAGTACATGTATTAGACTTTGATGCAAGGACAGTGAACCACATTATAGGATGCAGCCAAATGGCCTGTAGGTTTCCAAAATAATTAATGAACTACATTCAAGGCCAAAACTGAATCAGTGCCAATGACAAACTCTCAAATTGAGTGTTGGGATTGCTATAATTGCAGTAACGTTGTAAGAAGCTGCTACTATCTCTGAACCGTTTTCTACAYATTGAATAAGTTCATATTTCATGTGGCTCTTCAAAGAAAAAACTACTGTTTTTTTAAGCAAACATGACAAGTATTTTCATAGAATATTAAGAATTACTGGACACACTCAATCCCCCCTGCCTGTTCGTCATTCCTTTATCCTGTATGTTCCATTAGAATACATAATAAAACACAGTTATGAGCAAAATGGAAGTGAAATTCATAAGCCAGTGCTTCTTTTCAAACACTTGACTCAGTTTTATGTTGATTTTTTTTCATGATATTCATGCTATTTCAATATCATTCAGTATTTCAGATCAACATTATTTTCTTCCAAGTTTCTAAAGGTCTTCTAGAAAATAGCCTTTCTAGAATACAGAWAAAACTGTGRTCACTACAGCAAGGTAAGATTTAGATAGGTTATAAGTTCTGATCATTTAGCAAGCCCTCTTGTCTTCTATTTCTCAGTATTACATATAAATCCTGCTGGATAAGTTTAAGCACATTATTTACTTACAATTTGCACAGGAAAATTAGCTTTCATTTTGAAAAGCAAATACCTCAAATTTGGAAGTCTTAGAAGCAATGTTTTCTATGCAATTGTAATGAAGCTCTTTGGAGGAGGTAGATTTTCCTGTGGTTTAGTCTCAGAAAGCACATATAAAGTTTTTTCACTCAAGAGTCACACAAGTTAATAATGCTGACAAGGATCATTCACCATGCTATGTTCTTTCTTTGATCTGCTCTTTGTGGATCTACACATTTTATCCTGTTGCTCATTAGTCAAAATCCCTGATGGGAAGTATGATTCCATTTTTAAAATGCAGTTTTCTGCAGCAATCTTCATAATATATTCAATTGCATTTCATTTAGTTTTACAGTGTTTCAGAGATGCAGTATTATTTTCACCTATGCAATGAAAAATTCAGGACTGATTAGGAATTAAACATGCAGAGGGATTTAGCACATTTAGAACTTGATTTTTCTGATTGTCCCTCCTTTATTTACCTCTTTGCATATTCAAAATATTGCTTCAATAGACCACATTTGTAGTTGCAATCAGATTTCTTTTTAATGACCATCTGGGATATGTAAAAGTCTGATTGCCTGTAAAAATGACATTTAAGTGATTACTGGATTGTACTGTATAGGAACCATAGAACAAATGCCACCAGAAAGCAGCTACAGCACATTTTCCCAGCTTTCATCAGAGCATACCATTCTGTGTTCTGGAAGAAAGGAAGCAGACATCCTATAGACATGAGCTTCTACCAGCATGCTACCCCAATTCACTCACAGATCAGAAAAAAYATGCCAAGACAAATGAATGGGCCAAATCCTTCTCTAAATAACATACCCTAGTAGATATGGCAAGTACGGGACAACCCCTGTTGATGTTCCAGTTGTCTCCCTCACTCTCTCTTGTCAAACGTAACTTTATTTACTATCAACCAAGAACTAAACACCACAGCTCCCAATGTCAGGATGGAGTGAAACCATTCTTAGTCTCACACCCAATCCTGACACTGGAAAAGGTCCTTTCTCCACATGGCTCAACTCCAACTCCAAAATTCCAACACTTCTTTATTTTCATGCACTTTTGCACTTTGCTTATTGGGTGCAAAAAAAAAGTGGAGGAGCTGTCAATTCTCCTAAAAACTAAAAAAATCAGGCTGGGGCTGAAAACACTTTTCTGTGCCCAAATTCATGGTCCCAGTCCTGGTCTGAAGCATCCACTTGCTGAGACTGGATATAAAGCTCTCCACATTCCAGACTGTCCTAAAACACATTGAGTACAACATCTCTGATACTTTTAAGTACAAAATTCCATTTGTTCTCTATATGAACTTTTAAACCTAATTCAAAGGTTATTTGCTAGMAAAATAAACTTTGACATGACTAAAAGAAGACACATTAAATGAAGATAATCTGCCTCAGATCACTTCTGAAAGAGACTTAAGAATTTTTCTAGAAGAAAACAGCTAGAGTTTTTCCTCTAGTAGAGTGGAAAAATACCATCAGGTGTCACTTCTTATTAAAAAAAATAATATACTTGCTACGATTTTCCATATAAAAGCTGAAGGTAGCTAAAATATAACTTGGAATGAAATTTTTCATTTAGCAAATTATATGCAACTAAAAATAAAATTCTATTCAAMAATACTGAAAAATACTAACAGGCAGCATTACCTGCTTTTACCTGCAATTCCCAGCTGCCCATAAAATAARAATAATTCAAAAGCCATATCACAAGTAATAGCAGTAGGTACAAGAATCCAAGCAATTAATAGATGTTAGAGAAACACTAGTGATACAGAAGTAACCTATTGTTCACTAAACTGGTGGTTAAAAAAGAATAAAACCAAATCAGTTTTCCATCTATGATGCAACATGATAAATRCAATGAATGCCTTCAAGATCTCATGTCACGTGGAATCAAGAGCCATTCAAATAAAAATATTTTCCAGTGCAACTTAAGTACGTTTTTATCACCAGGGAAAAAAATAGCAAGAAAGGAAATCCACAGTTTATTTGGAATTGGTGCTTTAGTAACTGTGTCAACAGTTATATCTGTATCATCTAATATGAATTATATGATTTCAGTGTTATAATATCTGTCCTTGTACTAATTTGAGCATTTTCTTTTTAAGTTACCCTTTTATCTGTTTACAAAGGAACATCAGTGAGGACAAAGAATACTTTTAGTCCATAAATTGAGTTTYACTGGTAAAATGATCAGTTCAATCAAAAACTTAGGTTACACACACATAAAATGTTCCTATGCACATGAAGACCTTAACTTCTTTCAAGTCACTGAAACAAGTAACTGGTTAATCCAAAAGTGCAGTCCTTTGGAATCTGTGGCGGAATATCCCACACCACCACCTGCCACACTTGATGTATGCATTTCCAGCGACACAGACGCTGGAAGGTCACATCATCYTTGGCTGAACTTATTTCCAGACACATAACACAGAAACCAATGTTTCTTAATAGRAATTCTATCAATCTCATTTTTGCATAAGATAAGAGAAAGCAGATGAAGCTTTTCCKGTATGTTTCTAGAATTTCCTTAATAAGCAATCCAGCAATCCCTTATCTTTGTTTTCTCCTTTTAACAATGTTTCTTTCCAGGTGCAGATCTGCCCCAGGCGTATTTAAATTTTCTAGCAACCTCCCAGGGTTTAGAAGTCAACAGAAAGAACACAGCCATGTGTGCATGCATGAAATCTATCCTGATCTACTWGTGCTAAATAATTTGGTTACATTTATACATGAATATAAGATTTGACACTAGTACAAACCTTCAGGCTGACAAGAACAGAAATAATACTTATTCTGAGAAATGCATATATGTAATACCTAAAAAGCTCTAAATATTCATGAACACACATCAAAATAAAGTAATATCCCTAAATTTAATTTGCACATTGGATTGGCTGTATTATTAAGAMATTRGGTAAAAATGCTAGTCTTACAGAAATCCTACATGGAGATGTATATTTACATGAGATGTTGGGAAGAGAAAAATGAGATACAGCTGAGCAAAGCGGCACATGCTCAGTCTTTCAGCAAACCCAATCCACCTGTATTATTGAGTTGCAATGACCACAGAGGCCACACCTGTCTGAGGGATCTGTTCGCCCCTACTGCACAGCAGCAACTCTGCACATCTATACAGGAGTTGACACACCTGTGAAGTGGCCTCACAGATTTCTTGTTTGTGTTAACAGGCACATTTTTTTCCTTCAGGTAATGAATGGCTTTAAGTCACCACTAAGTACTTTTCTTCTTTAAATCGCTGTATTTCAGTTCACATAACAAACCAAATTCTAGTTAGCTGAGTCAGAGTCAATTACTTCTATTTCTAATGGAATCTCAGCTACAATTCATTATTGGAAGCACTTATTTGAATGAATTTTGAAAAGAATCCTTTACACATTTCCTTTAAAAG